ACACTTTCCATAATATTTTTCAGATATTTGTTATTTAACTAATTATGAATCTTTAATGATGTTGACTTGAAATATTACAAAATACTGTGGCTTAATTGTAGAGCAGTGGAATAGAGAAAGTTAGTGAATAGTTCAGTAAGTTTCTAATAGGCTCAAATCTACCCTAAGTGAACACCATTAGTTTGCTTTTATACAATATCTGCTTTCAGTTTGACTTATTTTCTACACAATCTGTCTAGGTTTAACATTAGTCCATACATTTTCTTTTTTACATAGCAATTCTCAGATCTGTAGTATTTTGTAAATATGCATCTAAATGGTAGCTTGAATCGATATTTGGAATATTAAAAAACAACTTAACAACAAGAATTAGTGAAGATTTTTTTCTCCCAGAAATTACATTTTCAGAAGATAATTTATGCCTTTACAGTAACAGTTGAGTTTACTGTCTTGTTTGTTTGAACTAATTGTACTTAATTAGCTCTTGCACAGACTAGCTACTTTATTAGGACCACCAACCCAACACACATAAATATACATCTAGAACACATTCCAGTTAGTTGCTTAAGCAAAACAGACCGTTCAGGTCTTATGAATCTCTTAGTATCCATTTTTATGTCAGGTGATACACAGGATAATTTGGTGGCATTAGCATAAGCCCTGGATGATGTTTTTGTTGTGTGACAAAATTGTTTTTACCTTTATTAGCAATTTTTTAGATAAATTATCTTTTGTTAGTGCTTGATGTTTGGCTAGAAGTAAAAAACTGAATGTCACCCTTTCTGTCTTATATGGTGTCATTAAGTTCCAAGACTTTTATCCTCCATATTTCCCAACTTTAAATAAAGTTATCCTAAGGATATAGGGAAGCTATTATTCTTTGCTGTGATTTAATGTGAACTGCATGTTAGATGAATAATATAACAAAGTTAAGCATTTCCTGATACGAGTTAGTTGTTATACTTTTGTTCAACATTTCTAGATTTAGAAATATTAAAGAATAATATAACATAGGAGGCTTATTAATATGGTATTTTACTCTTTTTTTTTTATAATATTTTCTACTTCTTTCACAATAGTATACTAGTTGCATTAGCCAACCTTGTTCAACATAACAAAGCATTCTATCATCACTTTTAGTTAGATTTTGGTGTTAACCTTGAATAAATACCAGGTATATGAATAAGTATAAGCATGCTTGTTTTCAAAGATAAAGAAAACATTGTTTTGCTACTCTCTTCGTTTCCCGTTGAAATTGGCTATTAAAATTAATTGTTCTTTCCCTTCTACACATAGATATCAGAATCAAACTAAAGCAGCAGCTTCAGTAGGATATCCTGCTTATGGAGTGACTCAGCCACATAGTAAGGAGGAAGCATTTCCGAGTGGGGACAGAAAACTTGCTCAGAGTGCTCAAATGTATCATTATCAGCATCAGAAGCAGCAGATGATTGCAGTAGAAAAGTAATTCTTGTTGCTTTGTTATATTTTCTAGTACTTACTAGTAAACACATAATTGTTTTGTAACGTAATTATTCTAAATGAACATTTCCAAGTAAGTTCCTACATTTTTCCATTGCATGAATGTAATAAAATGTTTGAAATTTTGTAAAATAGTGTTACTGGATAAGTACATTGGAATGAATGTGTTTGCCAAAAAAGAAATGCAGGGCTAAAGAGAATAAGGAATTACACCTCACTTGGCAAAATGTGTAGCAGTATGAAATCTCATCGTTTTATCAGACATTTTTTTTTTCATGGAAAATCAGTTATGCTGCAGTTCAGTGACTTGGAGTTATTGTATTTACTTTTTTAAGTGATGAGTTTTCCTAAGAGACTGTTCCTTGATATTGTTAGTAAGTTTCCCACAGATATGGTAAAGTAATCAAAATTTGTATAACAACTTTATCAAGTTCTTATGGTAAAAGGTTTATGATAGAAAGTGATTGGTGTTAAAATATTATCACACAATGTTTTTAAGTCTTTCAATAAAACTCTAAATTTTGTAATATTTTTGTAACTTTTTTACAGATGAGTAAGCATAACTGAACATGAATATACAATGTAGATTTTTATAAACAAGACTTACTAAACTTAATTTCTGTTTGAAAGATGAACTGTATTTTAATCACAATTCAAGTTAGCTTAAAAATATAAGTACTATGTCAGTCTTAATAGAAGTAATCATAATGAAAGAGTAATGTTATTGCGCACGCGTACATACACAACACGTATATGGATTTATACACAACTAGCAGAGAACCCAGCATTGCTCAGATGAAAATGGCTTTAAATATCCTAAGTTGTTTTAATTAAATCAACCATATTATTTGTGATTTTTTTATTTTTTTTGCAAAAAAATCAGAATTATTTCTTTACTAACTACATATTTTAATTAAAATCCATAAAAATAACAATGTGCAAAAAAAAAAAAAATTTGCTGAAGCTATTTTAATCAAAGCAAAATTGGGTGCATATCTCCTTCTTGCATGTTCTATGCATGACATTTCAAGTTTCCAAAACAAAATTCCTTACCTTTTGTTGTCCTGATTTCTGCTGTGTGGTCAAGTGTTGTTTGCAGTGTATTCTGACTTTATCATCATTCCATTTTATGAACAATTGAGTTATTCTATTCTCATTGCAACACAATGTAAATGAAAATTTGCTGATACCAAAAATTTTTGTAAATTTATCGTATAGTTTATTCTTGCAAAAGATATGGCTGAATAAAACCTATTTAGTTGAGGGAGTGTGTGCACATGTTCGAGAGTAAGGCATGTATGTGTAGAAAAAAGAGAGAGCAAAAAAGAGGAGGAGCAGAGAAACAAATGAAATCTCCACAAAGTTGTATCATTTTAACACATAACTGATCATGGATAAAATGATTAGGTGGAGTCCTCACACAAAAACATAAATACATTACCAAAAAAATCCAGCCTTTTCAATTTGAGACCAATTTGTTATCCTGTTTGCCAAAAATTGCTATATTGGTCACTTTGGCCTCAAAACGGCTCTGATGCTGCAGCCACGTAGCCCATATTACTTCCCACACAAAATTGTATCTGAACCCTGAGTTTGGAGTTTGGAAATTTGACTATGCATAAGGAACAGACCCACAGAGAAAGAGACATTCACACTTGTATAGATGGACTTGTGACATACAGGATAGATTGATTGAATTAAATATGTAGGAAATATTTACAGATAATTTTAGAAGTTGAAGGAGTCTTAACTGTATATGTTGACATTTACAGCATCAATTAACATGACCCAGAGTTATATGCACAGCATTTGTGTTTGGATCTCTGTGCTGTTTGTCATGCACATTCTGTTTTTTTTTATCAAATAAATTGCCTTTATAATGAAGACAATAAATTCACATCCAGGTGAGCTACTTATAAGAGATTTTCACTCTTTTTTCATGTGAAATAAGACATACATCAACTCTTAAACACTGAGAATACATGGATATAAAAGTTACAAAAACAAAGTGAAACAACTGACAATACAGCATTAACTAAGGCTTCTTAGAATAATAAGTTAGCTCTACAGATGTGAAAAGAGAGAGAGATGATGAAAACAACACTCAAGGTATTAAATCACAGTTCATAAAAACTTCAACTCCAGGTAAACAGGAAGTACATAGCCCACAAGTAGTATTCAATAATTATTATTGCAGTAGCTGCAGAAACTAGTTTTTTGTAACCCAACATTTTTAAAACAATCCATTAAGAATGCAATAAAGACATTTGTGGTGGTTGTATTTGAGAAAAAAAAAATATGACACTATTGTCAAAAATCAAGAATGGGAAGTACAGAATTTCTGACTGACTTTTGTTCATCTATATTTAGTTCGGGACATGATCTCAATTAATTTCAGGGGGTCAGAAAAAAAAAATTTAATAACCTTACATTGCATTAAATTAAATATGAATGAAAATTAAGCAACTGATATAATAGTTATTTGTTAGATCAACTGTTCAACATTTAAAACTGTTTAAAACTATATTATAATTTTAAAATTCAAAGTTTTGAATAACTGATAGGCATGAAACAAAAAACAAACAATCAATTAAAGTTGTTCTCCAATTTATTATCACTGATTTTTATTATGTCACTGTAAAGTTAGTTATTTGTGGAGCCATTCTGTACATTGTTTTAAACTTGTCTCAGGTTTATTGGCATATTACAACATTCAATGTATAAAAACATACAAATTTCATTCTTTTCTGAATGAGACAACTTTTGGAGTTATACTCATTATTTTTGTGTTTATGCAGTTTTTCTTTTTCATAATGATCAGTTAGTTAAGCATAGAAAATGTAGGCCTATATTCCCAGCTTTTTTGTTTATAAGAATGCATCCATGTATTTTTTTATCTTGAATTTTGTCTGTGTACTAGAATATACAGATATGCCAAAATGACTGTTGATTAATAGTGATGTAATCTTAGAGTAAACATTAAGGACAGGAATATTAAATTACTATGTACCATTCATTACTAAGTTGTTTGTCTTTAAAAAGAGTGATGTGCAAGAAACTTAAATTTTTTCTTCTTCTTCTCTTTTTCAAGTTGTATGTTTTTTCGCAGGCCTGGTGTATGTGTGAAAGGAAATGTGTATGTTATATTATTATTATTTTGTTTGCTTGTTAGGTCAACTTCTAACAGACGGACCTCAGTTTCTGATATTGAATCAGAAGAAGAAAATGAAGAAGGAGACTACACTGTGTATGAATGCCCTGGTTTGGCTTCTGTAAGTTGATTTTTTAAGATTTAATACTCTTAAAATATGATCATAGAAGAACTTTACTGCTCCAGTTGTACAATAGTGATAAAGAGAAGTTTTGACAGAGATATTAGAAAACATAGTAATGATACCTACAAAGAAGTACTTCAGTTAACTAATGAACTAGACTTGAAGGAGCACTACAAAAAATAGAAGAAATATGATTAAGTTTTGTTTTTGTTTTGGAGAAAAAAAAACTGGTAAGAAACTCTTGTTATCCTACAGTTTTTAGCCCACATGTTGTATACTTGATTTTAACAGTATCTGTGCAAATCATATAGACTTTTTATGTGTGAGATCTTCCAGTGATAAAACGTTTATGCACAAGTTAACAACAACCACTTAAGTCATTTCTTAAAGAGTAATATGATTTGGATTATGTAGATTTACTGCAGAGCATATGCAATATTATATGTGAATTTAAGTGACATTAGGACTGCCTAGGTTCATTTGATGTCTGTGAGCAATAAAGAGTGTATGTTGCCTTTAAATGTTATTTCATAAACTAAAACATTATATTTGTATGAAGGGCCAAGAATGGCCTACTGGTTAGCATACTATAGATCTTTGTGTCTATCTTCTGAACCCCATTATTACAGATACACAATAACAACTTCATACTTTGGGGTCATGGATGTGTTATAAGGGTGATGGTAAAATCCTACTATTCAGTTAGACAAAAGTAGGCAAGGGTTAGTGATGGATGCTGTTGATTAGCTGTTTTCACTCCAGTCTATCAGTTGAAAAGTAGGGATGGCTGTTGCAAGTAGCCCTTGAATTGCTTTGTGTGAATGTCCAAAAGCAAACAAAAAAAAATTAAGTGGCAAACATATGTACGCTGGAAACGTTACTAAGTAACATTTAATTTGAAGTATATAGTAATGATGTTTGCTGTTAACAGTACATATGAACTTGTATATTTATCATTTCCAACACATTTATTCTTTATTTAAATATTTTAGTATTCCCTATCACTAAAATTATATGTCATCTGATACAAGGTAATATTTATGATGTATATAATGCATTTTTAAAATATTTATAAGTGCTTGTATGAAAAATATAGGTTAATCATGTTTGGCATACTCTCTTGCTTTATTTCAAAAAAGCCAAAAGGCTCCTGAAAGGTTTCATTTTTTTTCCCTTTATCATTACTCGTGTTACAAACAAAATATAACATTTTCCCACATATTAAACATTTCATTGGGAAAAAGCCAAGAGTAATTTCTCTTTACTGATTTATTTCAAATTGTATACTGTGTTTACAGGCAAATTATGTTAGACCTTAAAGTTGACATCCAAAATAGTAAATGAAATTTGAAACAAGTTTTTGCATTGTGTCCTTTATATCAGTTAATTAGGTTTTAAAACTGTTTGTTTTTTTTTGTTTTTAAATAAAAGAATTTATGAGCAGACAATGCCTAAAGTACCAGAATTTAATGGTTTGATGAACTATAAAATAATTTCCATATAAATTGCCTAAAGGCTAATTATGAATAATACATTATCACTGTATTAATTAATATTATTCACAACTATTGTTATAGGAGAAGTGTATGACATACGTGAACTGTTATTAATTTTTAAAGTTTAAGTGAATAACAATATATATACTAAAAATACATCTGTGAGCTATCCAATAGTTAGTTGGCAGTGTACAGTTTCTTTATTTAGCAGCATCTAATTAGGAACAGTGGGTCATATTTTCATTATTCATTGTCAATGGGATTGACAGATATTGTCGTATTTTGTGAAATCTGTATGACTGTATGTAGGAAGCTCCACTTCAGTTAGTATAAACAATCGTCTTGATCCTTTTTTTTTCATGCATTTATGAACACAAATGCATGTACATTTCCTTCAAGTTTTTAGACCTGAAAGATATATAATTTTTTTTTTCTTAAATTTACCTTCAGTTGTAAAATTATTTATCTGCAATTGAATTAAAGTACAAAACAGACATTTTATAATACAAAATAATACCAAGGGCAATGTCCCTATAAAACAATTTTCACACTTGACTAGATAGTCAAAGTAGGTTACCTGTAGTTGGTAATTTATTGCTTGTAATTCTTTTTTTTTTTTGTTCCTTTCTTCTGCTTTTAAGATATAGTTGTGACTCTTATTTTGGACTGGGTGTAGCTCAGTGGTTAGTATGGCAGATTGTGGATCCAAGGGTCCTTGGCTTTATCTCTAAACTTTGGAGCTGTGGATGTATTATAAGAGTGATTGTCAAATCAATTTTTGGTTACAGTAGACAATAGATGGTGATGGGTATTGTTGAATAGCTGACTTTTTTCTAGTTTATCAGTTCAAGTTTAGGGATGGCTGACATAGATAGCTCTTGTGTAGCTTCCCACAAATATTCAAAGCAAACAGATTGTATTGTTGATTGATGTAGATATCACACTCTATGGTTTTATTGAATGATAAAATTAATATGATAAACTATTCAAATATGTTAATAATGTTATCTATTTTATGAAATAATACATCATTTTTTTTGCTTTGGAACATGAAAAAAGTTGCAGTTTGAATGGAAAACGTGTCAATTTGAAAATCATCAGTTACTTGTAGTATGTATACCAGTATTCATTAAACTCCAGTAAATACATATAATTTAATAAGTTTCCAGAAGGGAAGAATTTTGCTGAGAATCCTTTCTTGCAGTTATTTTGGACTGATAATTGTTTTTTATATTTTTAACAGTTTTTTACAGAAGTTTCGCACTGATTAAATGTCTTTTGTCATTCAGACAGGAGAAATGGAAGTCCAAAATCCTCTATTCAGTGAAGAACCAACCCACAGAATGAAAAATAACATCAGGCAGCAGTTTTGAAAATGTTCTATGTAACCAGTGCACTAGTAGAACCCAACTGTTAGGTTAGCACTTTTAAATGTGTGATCTTTTGTGTCATATACATACATATAGATATATATATATATATATATATATAGGGAGAGACAAATATGTATATAACATGAAATTGTAGAGGATTAGGTATCTCTAGTTACATATATGTGTGAAGGTCTTAATAAATTATTTATTTTAATATCAATTTTCTGAGTTACATAAATATATATAAACTCTAGCAATACCAAAGAATCATTGCATCAGAAAAAAAAATTAAAGTTTTGTTTATTTATGGAGTCAAATAACTTCTACCATTTTAATGCTGGATTTGGTGGATAACTTTGTGATTTATTTTGGAACTTTCAAGCAATTTAACTTAATTTGGAATAAAAAACCTAATATTGTGAGTATGCACTGTAAGAGTTGGCCATGTTATGTGTGTGAAGTTATAGCAGCAGATTAAATAATGATATTGTCTAATAGGTACATGTGTAGCATGCTAAACTAGTTTGTAGAGCTAAATACAAATTATTGATAATTATTGGCACAGGTAGATAAGGTTCTCTAAAAGTTATTGCAGGTTTGATATATTTCTAGTGATGGTGATGCTCATCTCACAGGTTTTATATTTAATTGTAGAAGACATTCTACAATATAAAAAATATCTGCTGTGTATCCTATCCATATAAATTACTTTTTCAATAATACAGTTTTGTCACTGAGGTATAATAGATAAACATCTTGTTAAATGAACTCAGGGAAAGAACAGTCAGTAACTATGACAGTTAAATATGTTTTATATAGCAATACCAATATAGTGGAATGTTGTTCAAGATTGATTTAATGCACAATGTTTACTGAAAAATACAGTGTATTTGGTTTCTGTTTAAAAGAGTTGTCGGAACTGTTCAAGTACCCAAAGCAGTATGTTGCTCAAACAGACAGGAACAGTTTTTGATTTCTTTTCATTGAAGTAATAAAAGGTTAAGTTTGGTGCATGTGTTTTTCAGGTGATTAAACTAATTATAGTGAACATGATTTTCACTCAGAAAAATGGAAAGCCTTTTTTTTTTTTGTCAGATACCTTTAAAAACTTTGGGATGATATACATAATTATACCTCCATTACAAATGATCTTAAAGAACTTGCATAATCTATCCAGACTTTAAGATTAAACAGTTTTAAATGACGATTACATGATATCTTAAATATTCCTTTTTAAATTGATATAGCAATTTACTGTGATCTTACAATTTACACATATACCACATAATTAAAAAAACATAAACTTTTCATCTTGTACAACTAGATTTTTTGAAAGAGTATTATGTTCTCCTATTTTGTTGATTATGGACCTTGACCCTCAAGAAGTCAAGCCCCTATCAATAAACACCATCTGGAAATATCATACCTTACTGTTAAATTTACCCAATCAAAGTTCAATGTACCCTTGTGCTGTATTATTATATATATTTGTAGTTTCAATTCATTCAGTGTAGTTGACATACCTGATGATGCCAGGTTAACCTGGTGAAACTTTCTACTTTCATTAAACTTTACTGTTTATCCGATTTATCAAGTTTACCTACAACTCGATTTGTTTGTGTGTTGACCATAACTGATAAAGGAGTATGTTTCTTGACAAAACTATGAAGGTTTTTAAAGTGTCTTTTTTTCAAATTAAGAATATTTATCACAGAAAGTGAAGAGTTAACATTTTCAGTGATAATTTAGGAAAGATAAATGCAATTACAAATTTTTAGGTGGGTGGTTCTCAATCCGTGGTCTGCAAGCTCCCTTCAGATGGTTCATGGAAAGGTTACATAAGCACGAAAGTAACTGGCAACGTAGTGTGTAGATCTCTTTCTGGTCCTCTGATATAAAACAAAAAACTCAAATGGTCCATAACAAAATGTTTGAGAACCACTGGTTTAGATTATGTACTTTTGATCATAATATACATGACCCCAGTGGCACAGCAGTATGTCTGTGGACTTGTACTGCTAGAAACTGGGTTTTGATAGGTGGGCAGAGTACAGATAGCCCTTGGTGTAGCTTTGTGCTTAATAACAAAGAACAACATGATATACACATCCATAATGTTTGTTATTTTGTGTGAAAGTTTCAATGTCCTTTTTAGGTAACTTGTAATTTTTTATTTTTCATTATGTAATGTATGTACTAAGAGGTCAGCTATATTTTTATGTGAAATTAACCCAAAGATATGCTTTTTCTCAGTATAATGTGTAAAATAAATTAAAGAAACATTATTTTAACGTTAATTATAAATTGAGTGCAAATGCAATATAAACATTTTTCATTATATAATATTTCACAAGTTTCCTTTTACACATTGAGAATATCATATTAACAATTTAAAATCAAAAGTTTGTAATTTTTTTCTTGTTTTACTTTAGTGATTCAGAACTTAAACTATTTTTTCACAACACAATAAATCAGTTTAAATCTCACTATTTTATTTATAATTGAAAAATCTTTGGTTAAATATTTTAAGACTCGGCGCTGTGAAAAACTCGACCCTGATATGACCGCCCCCTTTTTTTATATTATTATTATTACCGATTTGACAACTGACTACTTTTATGCTTTGTATTGTAGTTAATATGCATCATAGGTACAGTGCATGAGGGTAATGGATCACAAAGATGACAAACATGGCATATTTCTTTCGTTTTTTTCGTGTTCATCACCTACTCTGCCACTTACTACTGTTTCCATGCTTCCTGGTATCCGATTGAAAATCTGAAAGTTGTGTTGAAATCAGCTCAACCAATTTAGCTAAACTGTTTACTAATAATTACTATGTCGTGTTGAAATCAGCTCAACCAATTTAGCTAAACTGTTTACTAATAATTACTATGTCGTGTTGAAATCAGCTCAACCAATTTAGCTAAACTGCTTACTAATAATTACTATGTTGTGTTGAAATCAGCTCAACCAGTTTAGCTAAACTGTTTACTAATAATTACTATGTTGTGTTGAAATCAGCTCAACCAATGTAGCTAAACTGTTTACTAATAATTATTATTGCGCTTTATGCACTTTTTTTTATTATATGTTTCATAATTTTGTTTTGACCAAATTTTTAGCAAAATATCCAACTTTTTCGTGGCCACAGGTCTTAAAATATTTTTATTTAGCATTTTCCAAATTTTTTATTAAATGTTCAGTTGACATTAGCTCATCATAAAACAAAGTACTTATTAACTAAATAGTGTTATAAATGCAGCTTTTCCATATTCCTTGTAAAAGCATAAACAAGTTCAATAAATGAAATAAAACTTTGGGGGTTTTGGAGATATTTTAGATGAGAAAGAGAAGAAGGTAATTTCACACATTCTTTTACAGTATCGTCAAGATATTACTGTAGCTGCTGACTATATTTTTTTTATTTTTCAAATATTTCTGTAATTGAATTAATAACAAAGTAGATGAGAAAGAGAAGAAGGTAATTTCACACATTCTTTTACAGTATCGTCAAGATATTACTGTAGCTGCTGACTATAATATGTTTTTTATTTTTCAAATCTTTCTGTAATTGAATTAATAACAAAACATGACATATATGTTATCTGAGTTTGTTATAATGAAAGTACAATAATGGTAAAATTCAATAAGCATTAGTATTTTGTCATATTTACTGATTTAAAAGACTCATTTAGCTCACCAATAAAAGCAAAATCTGTGAAAACTAAAACATAAAGCAAAATAAAGCTGTAAAAAGTGTTTAGTTTATCTGAAATTAGATGCAGCATCTGGAGGAATTGTGTACAACTTTTATTATTTTGTATTGCAGAAATATATATGCACCTTTATATTACTTTGTTCAGGTAGAGGGTTTAGTTATAATTTGGTTTGTCATTTTTTGTTGATATCGGGTTAAGGTCTTTGCAGATTAATTCTTATTTAGATATCCATCAAATAAGTAATTTTATGAACAGAAATCTTGAGCAAATCAAACATTTAAATATTTAAAGAAACTATTCAAAATATGTAGTTTTCAGGATATTATTTTTTCTTGTTTGAATCTCATGAATAATATCTCTTTCAAAAAAAATGTCAAATTTATAAACAAATAAAAATACAGGTAGAATTAAACTTGAATCCATGAATTATATTTCAAAATGTTTTAAACTGTGTAAAGTAGCTTAGAACTATAAAGCATGACACTAGAAAAACTTAATCTGGAGAGGCCTGAACCTTAAAAGGCAGTTAAATTTGATAACTTGTAGTACTTAGATTATAGATGACATAAATGCATATTGCTTCCTTGTTTTTGCTTCCACTGTAGAAAGCAATAAAAATTAATAAAAAAAAATAGCTGTTTCTTGTTATTTTTACTTGACACTTTTTTTTTACAATGAAGATTGTTTGAAAAACAAATCTGAAAATTATTTTAATGTTCGTTGATTAAACTGTACTTCAGAATATACAGAAAGCAGGCTATTGTAGCCTTAGTTTTGCTGCTAAAGATAGGAAAAAAATAGTCTGTAGGATCAAAATGTCTGCATATCATAAGAAAGTGTTATATGGTATTAATTAATTATAGCATGGTGATGAATAACTTAATTTTAAGAATAATGTATTACCATCACTTCAGTTAAATTAAAATGACAAGAGTTTGTTAGGTTATATTTTCAGGTGAGGCATTTTAAAAATCTTAAAAATTACACCGCTAAAATGTCTAACAAAAACTGGACTATGGAAGTTGAGTATTTCCAACAAAGTGCCCAGAATAAACAATTGTAACAACAATAGCTTTAAATCATGAGTTAGGGCACTTAAACCATCTGTAAATCGATCAGCAGCCTTTTTTCCTGCAAGATGTATTTCCATCAATTTGTGTTGACCAAGTAGAACTGATGCCATTCCAATGATCCATATTAACAGAAAGTCAGATTTATCCATAGCAACACACATGGTCACAGTACTGGTCATTATTATACAACGTAGGGAAGGCTGTAACCTCTAGGTATCATGTACTTGGCCAGTGTGTGAAGTTGCAGTAATATACCCATGGGCATAGTAGGTATTATGTACTAGAGAACAACAAAGGAACAAAAATAACTAGAAGAAAAACAACTTGGTGGGTTTCTGAACCAAGTATTTTTCAAAAACTGCATAGAATAAGACTAAATGAACAATTACTCCATTAATAAAAGAAGGTAGAAAATACAGTGCACATTGTAATTACTTTAATGATAAAATATACTATAATATTAAACAAAAAAAAGAGACTGTTAAATTTCATTTCTTTTACAAAAAAACAAATAGTATGCCCTTATGAATGAAGCATGAAGTTTTTAATGATGCTTTGTTATCAAGGATATTTTAATCCATTGAAACAAAGAGGACAAATAATTGAAAAATTAACAAAAATACTTACAATAAATTTCTAAAATCATCAAACAATGCAGGTTCCTCAACCTGTAATGATGCATCTCTTTGCAACTTAACAAACTGGGTGCAACAACTTGCATTCCTGAAAAATAGTGCTTTATTTGTTTTTGAATTTTGTGCAAAGCTACACGAGGGCTATCTGTGCTAGCCATCCCTAATTTAGCAGTGTAAGACTAGAGGGAAGGCACCCACCATCAACTCTTGGGCTACTCTTTTACCAACGAATAGTGGGATTGACTGTCACATTACAACACCCCCACAGCTGAAAGGGCGAGCATGTTTGGTGGAACGGGGATTCGAACCCGCAGATTGCGAGTCGAGTTCCTTCACCACCCGGCCATGCCGGGTGGAAAATAGTGGAAGCTCTTATAGTATTCTCATCTGTTTGAGCAGGATAAAAGTATTCCCTTAAAATTACTGAAATAAATAGTTCAGCAGTAGTAAAATTCCTAAAATTTATATATGCTTTTGTACTTCTTCATCCAACCAAACATTATAGAAAATGCACACTAGCATACTTCATTTGCTGGTGACTGGCTTGAAAAGAAGTAAATAAATAATGCTATTGGCTAGAGAAAGAACAAATAATTTCATAAATTTTTCAAATTGCATACAGCTCTCTTTGGAGACAATCCAAACTATTGAAATACTGAATTGTAAATATTTGGAGAGACAAATGATGTGGTGTCCAACAAAAAGCCTCCAGGTTGTGCTTTGAACATTTTAAGAAAACAGGTCAAAATGTTTGTATGAAAGAGATGATACTTTGCCCCCCTATATTTGCATTTCCTGAGCACCTACAAAAGGTATATTAGTATTACGCCTTAGGAGTATGCTGTTCTGACTGTTCAACTATTTCATTGAACTGTTGAAAAATGAGTTAAGTGTTTACTATAAGAAAACTTTTGTTGATGTTCAACTACCTAGCTCTATTTGAATTTGTTATTACATAAAGTTTTTTAATTGTTGAAGGATTTTGCTAGATAAAATTTTCTATAACAAAACTAAATAATGAATGAAATAAGTTGATATCCCACATATGCCTATAGTACTGTTGAGAAACTAATCAACAGAAAGTTGTCAGTATATTTGAAATTACCTAGCCAAGTATAAGTAAGTTAGTTAGATAAGAAATAGATCTAGACCAAGTGGTTGAGAGTTTAACCATAAAAAGCATATGGTGGCAATTTGTAAAGTGACATTATCACAGATTGTATTGTAACAACAGAGTAGAGAAGAATAATTCGTATTGGGTTCTGTGTGTGAACTTTGATGAAAAGAAGAAATTATTTAAAGCTCTGGATACAACAGTGTAATGTAAGTGAAACCATCACAGATTGTATTGTAATAACAGAGCAGAGAAGAATAATTTGTCTTGTCAATTATGTTCTAAAGTAACTGAACCAACTTGTGTGGGCTTTGTCAAAAAGAAACGAATATTTAAAGCTCTGGATACAACTGTGGTGATTAACTGTGTAATTAACATTTGTATATACGTTTGTCTTGTTTTAATATATTATTTTAAAACAAGTTTAAGAAACAATATTTTAAATCAAGTCGCATACATTCTTTGCACATCGATGTCTGTTACCTGAAAATTATAATTTTCTGTTTCTACGAGAAAAGTTTTCCAAAGTGACTCATGAGAACTGCTCATTGGACTCGTGTTTTCAGCCAATGGATTTTTGGAACTGAACAAATTAAAGAGTCCGTCAAGTTTTTATGTATGGATGGGCCAGATACTTTACAGTAGATGTCTGTGACTTGTTGGCAATAAATTTCAACAATAAACAGC